TGTAATATAAATCATGAATTAAACAACTTCATATTTTGTTCATTTTTAAATGATTGCTTCAGCTTCCGAATACCTGAAAACAAAACAAACAACACATATAATTAATACTTAATAAAGTATGTTTGCCCAGCTGAGCTGTGCTCGTGAGGCGAGTGAGGAGAGGCCAAAGGCGAGTGGCAAGGCGAGTGAGGCAAGCAAAAAGAGGCAAGCGGCGAGGCAAGCAAATAGAGGCATACAGTGAGGCAAGTGAGGGGAGAGGTCGAGGCGAGCGAACAAAGCAAGGCGAGGAAAGAGGTTTCTATTTTTTTTTTTATCGAATTACGGCTGAGTTTCTTTCTACTTTCTAATTTACACGGCATACTGAACTATATAAGAAAGAAGAGAAGAGGCGCTAGGGGTTAGAGTAGACAAAAGCATATATAATATATAATATATAACACACGGATTGGACAAACCCTAAACTTCCAGTATCGAGGACTAACCCGCACATTACAGGGTCCAGGGGTCTTAGGACCAAAAACCGACCCAATCCCCTGGGAACCGGACCAGGACCGGCCGAGTTAGACCGGTCCAGGGTCAGTCTAGGATTGACCTTGGACCGATGCTCACCCCTAATTCTACATTGCATTGATTGTGCAAAAATGAAATCATGCGTACGTATAACTCCTGCAGGTTTGGAGAGGTGTGGGATTTGTCTCCGTAAAAAAAAGGAGACTGGGAAAACATGTCTGATTGATTTGATGATAACAAAATTTAGATCAAAATATTTTGTGAGTGGACTTAAATACCGCTGAAGCTGAGATAACGACAGAAAATGCATTCAGGGTTCCTCATTTTTCATGGGTGAAAGTTGCTTAGTGTGGAAAATCGTAAAAACAAGCTCAAAAAACTAAGCATAGGTTCTATGATTGTCCGGAGTGTAAGAATGTGAACTTTCTAACTACATAGAGTCCTCCGACCTAAAAAAATTTACTTAGAGTTCCGAAATTGAAGAACTAGCTCATTTAAATATGATATTTTAAGAGTGCTCCAGCCAAAATTCGTGGACAAAACTGCACTGGAATTTACTAAAAAGGTATGATCAAAATCGACGGACAGGAATTTTTGTTGTTGCTTGCTTTAACTTTCATTTTACTTGATGAAACATGAAACAAAAAAAGGAATAAAAAAATAAAAAATTGGCCGGTTCCGGAGTGTACAAGTTAGATTTCATGCTCCAAAAACTAGAAACCAGCCTCGACGGTATAGTTTATTCTAGGAAAAGTGTCAAAAAAGTCCTAAACCTTTTGCATTGGTGCCAATTTAGTCCTAAACCTTTTACATTGGTGCCAATTCAGTCCTAAATCTTTTTTTTTTGTGCCAATTTAGTTCTAAACTTTTTGTATTGGTGCCAATTCAGTCCTAAACCTTTTTTTGATGCCAATTCAGTCCTAAACCTTGTGTATTGGTGCCAATTCAGTCCTAAACCTTTTGCATTGGTGTCAATTGAGTCATAAACCTTTTTTTTTTGTGCCGATTGAGTCCTAAACCTTTTGTATTTGTGCTAATTCTGTCCTAAACCTTTTGTATGGGTGCCAATTCAGTCCTTCTGGTTAATTTAGCTCAAAAAGGTTTAGGACTGAATCGGCACAAATGCAAAAGGTTTAGGACTGAATCGGCACAAATGCAAAAGGTTTATGACTCAATTGGCACTAAAAAAAAGGATTAGGACTCAATTGGCATCAATGCAAAAGGTTTATGACTAAATTGGCACAAATACAAAAGGTTTAGGACTGAATTGGCACCAAAAAAAGATTTAGGACTAAATTGGCACAAATGCAAAAGGTTTAGGACTGAATTGACACAAAAAAAGGTTTATGACTAAATTGGCACAAATGCAAAAGGTTTAGGACTTTTTTGACACTTTTGCCGTTTATTCTAGGTTCCAAAAGCGACAACTAGTCCCGATAAGGTAGGTTACGGTTCCATAGCTCAAGCTCACCCCTAGCCCAGGCAACGTCAAAATGTGAGCAATTCGTTGTCTTTTAAATTATCAACAATTAGCTAGTGTCAAACAACACGCAATATTTTGGGCCCCCCAAAAAAAAAACGCGAGCATGCAATATCAGAGGAAGCTCGGATACTTTGGAAGGAAATAGGGTTAGGGTTAATACCACGAAAACCCCAAACTGGTACATCTGTGACAAATTTACCAAAAACTAATTTTTTTGATCACGAAAAACTCCAAACCCGGTACACCTATGACAATTTTACCTCGAACTAATTTTTTGACCACAAAAATCATAAGTCAGTATACCTGTGACAATTTTATCCCGAACTAATTTTTTAACCACTAGAAACCCCAAACTAGTATATCTGTGACAAATTTACTATCTGTTAGTTTTCGTTAAATTTTATTGTTAAATTGCTGAGTTTGATAACACGTAGTAATTGACGAGTGTACCAGTTTGGGATTTTACTCCTCTGTTTGTCACAAATTTACAAATTTTTTATTTTTAGTGATATTAATCCAATTTAACGGAAGGTAAATTTGTCACAAGTGTACCAGTTTAGGGTTTTTGGTAGTTAAAAAATTAGTTTGGGGTAAAATTGTCACAGGTGTACCAGTTTGGAGTTTTTGGTGGTCAAAAAATTAGTTCGGGGTAAAATTGTCACAAGTGTACAAATTTGAGATTTTTCGTGGTCAAAAAATTAGTTTGAGGTAAATTTGTCATAAATGTATCGGTTGGGGTTTTTGATGGTCAAAAATTAGTTCGAATAAAATTGTCACAAGTGTCTTAGTTTGGGATTTTTCGTGATATTAACCACGAAAAACCCCAAACTCCAGACACCTATGACAAATTTACCCCGAACTAATTTTTTGACATGAAAAACCTTAAAACTAGTACATCTGTGAAAATTTACCCAAAACTAATTATTTGATCACCAAAAATCCCAAACCGGTACACCCATCAATTGCCACGTGTCATCCAACTCATAAATTCGACAGTAAAATTTAACGGAAACTAACAAAGGATAAAATTATTACAAGTGTACAGATTTGGGGTTTTTGGTGGTCAAAATATTAATTTGGAGTAAATTTGTCATAAGTGTACCGGTTTGGGATTTTTCATGGTATTAACCAAGGAAATAGCAGCGGAAACAAAAACTATATCTGAATCGAGAATAAAACGCCTTATTGGGCATAGCCAAGGCCAATAGAACAAAGACTGGTTTCAATGACCTTGTCATCCAAGTTACACAATGATGAAGCAATGTCCCACTAATGTGTAGTGGACGTGATCTTAAACACCCAGCACCAACTCTTCGAAACATAGAAATATTCTAAAGATTAGACATCTTTTCCTTCAGTTTTGGATTCAAACGCACATTAACCAAACCAGAGGGAAGTGCTGGCAACTCATGAAGCATGTCGCAGTGAAGTAGGTCAAGTGTCTCCAGCTTGGAAAGATGCTTGATTTCAGAAGGCAGGCTGCAAATACCAGAATATTGCAGCCTCATAATTCTCAGATGAATTAGATTCCCAATGTCTCTGGGAATCTCCCCTTTTAAACTCCTACACGAGGAGGCATGTTCTTCGAGGCTATGTAGCCGCCCAATAAAACTAGGAAATTCTCTTATGAAGCAATAGTCCGTCTTTAACACTCTCAAACTCCGCAAATTTCCAAAGGAGTTTGGCAATTTTGAAATGCCTGTTACTGACATATCCAGCTCCTATAAAGAGTTTCCTAATTGGCCAAGGGACTCTGGAAGTTCTCGTTTCCAACGACAATTCCTCAATGACAAGCGTCGGAGTTTAACCAGCTCTCCAATTCCATCAGGGAGTTTGGTAATCTTCGAATTATCTACTGAGTTGAAAGTGCTGTCAGGTGTTCAAATGAGAAGCAATTGGAGGCACAAAGAGTTTCGAGTTTCTTTGAATCACCTTCCAAGGGAATTTCTTGCACAGAAGTCTCATCAATAAGGAGCTCTTTCAAAGCTTCCAAGCGACCCAGTTCAGCAGGCAACATGTTAAGTTCAGTGCAGGACTTCAAATTCAGGCAAAGCAATTTTTTGAGACTCCCGACTGAAGGATCTAAATGCACCAATTGAGAGCATCACTCTAGAGTAACTATCTCCAAATTTGGGAAGCTTGAAAATGTAGGACTTATCAGTAAGTCGGTGCAACCGGTGAGATTTAAGACTTTCAACTGTTCCATCTGTAAAACAGGAGAGAGAACATCATAAGTTCAATCGCCAGATAATTAACAAAATAAATTCATTAGAGCCGTAAATAGGAAACCACCTTGATTTTCCTCCAACCTCGCCAGTCTTCGGTGACTTTGCTCCATGAAAGATAAAGAATGACCAATTCAGTCAGATTAAATTCTGTTGCTTTGAAATCCCTTGGGCACCCTTGCCAACGAAGCCACCTTAACTTTGGAAATACATTTGCAAAATTTCCAGTCATACTTGCATGATCCAATTTCAAGAACCTTATATTAGGCATGCTTTTGAAATTTGTTTCTGCAAATGAAAGGGGACAACAATTCTTGAAGTCAAAGCAGAGGGCTGCGACCTCTTCCATTTCCTACATTTGCCAAGAGTAACAAATCAATCTTAAGCTATAATTTACGATGGGACAATTTTGCAAAGTGATAAGGACGAGAGTGCTTTCTTTTCTGTGCATCCGTCAAGGCTTTCATTTTACGGAAGAAAGTATACCAATGAACCAAAAGTCGTTACCTCTTTCCTGTTGATTACTTTCAGGTCTGTATCATGCATGTATAGTCTACTGCGCCTTCCAGGATATTTATGCTCGTCTTGATCTATAGTTCTGCTGAAACGCTTTAACAGTTTATGCATCCACAGCAGGTTGTCTCCTCCAATTTTCGCTAGGGGCATCAAAACAAGGTGAGAAGGCAAAAGATCTTGATCAGGCCACATGTATGATGCAATTCGGCTATCAACGCCATTGGCAAACCATACTATGTCCCAAAATATTTGTTTCTGCTTTTCATCTATGCTTTATAACAGATTTTCAAAATCTCCCCACAATCCTTCAAAATCTCTTGAGAGTTCTCCTTCCATGGTTTTATCAAGTCCTCTATCTTCTTCCAATCTTCTATTGTTTTACCACGCAGAAGTGAACCGATAACTTCAATAAATGGAACACGTCCCATAGCTTTGACAATCCGCTTCCCAATTTCAGGATAGCCAGGTATTAAACCGTGTGATCCTAAAGCATGCTTGTGGAAAAGTTCAAGAGCTCGATTGCTATCCATATAATTCAATTCATAAATACGGGCCAGGCCTTGAGAAACATATGTGTGGAGAATTCCACTATTTTCTGAAGTAACAAGTATCCGACTTCCAGAACCAAACCAGTTAAGCAGGTCTCTTACAAGATCATCTAGATGAGACTGTCCTTCCACATCATCTATGACAATAAGAACTTTTCGATTGCGAGTTACGTCCACAAAAACTTGATACCTCTTTTGAAAGAAGAACATCCCCATCTCGCTCAAGAATATCATAAATCAACTTAGTTTGCACAAACTGAATACCACCAACATTTTGTGTTGTTTCTCCAATCTCTGTGAGAAAGCTACAACTATTAAAATAAGAGGAGAGTCGGTCGTATACGGCCTTTCCAATAGTTGTCTTGCCGATTCCATTAGTTCCATGGATTCCAACAATGCGCACTCCAACCTCATCATCATCTATTTCCAATAACTTGAGTACATCCTTCACTTGATCATCCATACCAATTACATGTTCAATAGTGGCAACTGAGGTTTGCAACGACTCCAAAGGAAAACTAGGAAGTTTCAACTCCTTGATATGTAGAAGGGGTGGAATCCATTCCATCTTAGGACACTCCCATATCCTTAGTGCAGAGAGATTAGGAAGTGACGAGAGGGCATGAAGATCACTTTCTGTGTACTCCACTATAGGTAGCTCACCAATTTCCAAACGCTTGAGGCTCGTAAGCTCACCAAGTGGTGGGAGACTTTGCATCCTGCACAATGAAACAACCGTAGCTCAACTAACTTAGGCATGTGAGACATCCAGCTTGGAAACCTTGCGCCCCATAGCCTCTTATTTTGAAGCTTCGAAGATTTAAGCTTGGCTGCAGCTCTTTGAGTAGAACTTCATCACTTCCTTTCCCGGCAAACACTAATACTAGTGAAACTAAGGAATCCTTTTCCTTCAAGTTCGCAGCATTTGATTCTGCTACTGCATCTTCTTTTTCTCCCTTAACTTCGATATTCAGACATCCTCTCAAATGGCTTAACCTGTTCAACTCCCCCAGCCCACCATAATTCTTTGGACAATAATCATCCCCAGGCAAAAGGAAATCTGTTAAAGTGCGCAAAAGAGTCAACTGGCCCAACCCATGTGGCATATGAGATAGGGCATTACAGTTGCTAATCTCCAGTTGCCTGAGGTTGACCAATTTTCTTATATCCCTTGGCAACTCTATTAGCTTGCAACACATGTTGAGTTTAAGTACTTGCAAGTTTTGCAATCTTGTCACAGAATCAGGAAGCCTTATGATTCCTTCATTTTTAGAGAGATCTAGAAATGTCAAGTGCTTCAACTCACAAATGGAACTTGGTAACTTCTCAATACCACTATCATAGCAATTCAAGGTGCGCAAGAACTTGAATATAGAAATAAGTTCGCAAAGAGTTTTTTCACCCATTTGAGCTTGACACCTCGAGCTTTTTGTTTGATCCATTTTGATGAATGTCCTCAGATGTTCTGCTCCGAATACAGTAGTTGGAAGTCCCCGTGATAAATCTAAAGTTGAATACCACGACACATGACGGGTTCTTTCACCAATTGACGATCATGGCCAACAAATTCCTCGAGAGTACTCCGGTTTAGCAACCATGCAGGCTAGCGCATTCATTAAATCGTGCATCTTACAAGACGTCACATTTCCAACTCCGTCTTTAGTGCAGTCTTGAAAGAAATTCCTCCTAAGTAGAAATAGTCATGAGCAATGTCTTCCATATCCCGATCTACGTTGTCTATGGGCCAGATAAATCCTTCTGCCATCCAGAGACTCGTCAACATTAGTTAATCAATCAAACAATCTCTGGGAAACAATGAACAGAAGGCAAAGCACTGTTTTAGATGGGATGGGAGATGATGATAACTAAGCTTAAGATGTGAGGTTAAGCCATAATAACTCGACTCTGAAGAAATTTCTGGGATCTCATGCTCAAAATGTAACCACTCAGCTTCAGTTTTCTTGAAGTATAATATTCTTCCAATTATTCGTATCGCCAAAGGGATTCCACGACATCTTTTGGCTATCCGCCTCGCAATAGTTAACTTCTTTGAATCTTTAGTCTCTTCTTCTTCCTCACAAGCCATTCTCATCAACAAATCTAAAGACGAGCTTTCTGAAAGGGTCTCGAGAAAATAAGAGGTTATGCGCATGAAATGCGCAACTGACTGATCGCGTGCAGTTATCAAAATCTTGCTTCCTTCAGCAACTCCCATCAATAAACTTTTCAAGCTCCCCTAGTGTTGAGGAAACTGTAACCATACATCGTCCATAACTAGGAGACACTTTTTCCCACGAATGTGTTCCATAAGTTGATTTTGCAATTGCTCCAACTCAACGTCATCTGCTCTTTCTGTTGCTGCACTTTCTATAATTTTTCGCAATACCATTTTGAAATCAGATAAGTCACCCACACAGACCCATATCCTTAAATCAAAATGGTTGTTGACCATGTCATCCTTGTATAGACATCGAGCTAGAGAAGTCTTTCCAATCCCACCCATACCCCACATTGAAAGGACAGAGATTTTTTCTTCAGTTTTGGAGTCTAACAAGAACTTCGAAATTGCTCTTTTAGCACCATTTCTCCCTATAAACTCCTCCTCGTACACAAAGGGGTCTGACTGCTCTCTCTCCCTCCATCCTCTCCCTACTTCCACATCCTTCGCGTACTCTAGCAAGTTAAAAAACCTCACTCTAGCAGCGATGGCTTCTATTCTCTTCCTAATGCTCTTCAGCTCTGGAGCAAGTTCGTTTGAAGGTGAAAAGAGGGTATTTACCTGCTTCAACTTCTCATCTTTGCCCCGCAATTCTCGCCGCAAAAATTCAACGTTCCATTCTCCGAGCAAGTCCTCTGCACCATGCAAAGCATCTCCGAGATCGTCAAGCCATGCTTTGATTCCGCGGCTCTCGAGGCTCCGCTTTTCCGCATTGCGCACTACCTTTTGGAGAGTAGAAACGGTTTCCTTGAGCTTGTGGAATTCGCCGACAATACCCCATGATTTTCCTTCCTCGGCGAAATCATCCAGAATTTTAGCTATCCTCCAGACGATTGCCTCCGCCATTGCTGTTCGGTGAAGAAGGATCCTGCTCCTCGGTATGCTTAGTCTTGTCGGGGCTCCTCGCATTTCTTACACGGTCAATCAATATGAAAAGACGAATACACCCTCACGTAACTATGGAGAGATTAAAAATTAAGGGCTTTATAAGCAAAATATTTTTTGAGCTATTGTTAGAATAACAGCATATTATGAGTCACAAATTTTTAGAGGAGTGAACTCCACAATAATTTCTAATTATTTATTATTTATCTTTTTGATAAATTCAAGACAGTCACATAAGCATTTTCCAAAAATTATTTTTTGGACGGGGCTATTTCTACTCGAGTTTTGATTAGGAAAGTACTACAAAAGGTCACTTGAATTTTTTCCATTAGCTAAATAGACCGAGCTAATGGAGAGACTTGAATATACTAATTTGACGAGCTGTAGTACTTCATTGTAGTTTTCAAAACCCTTTAAGACTTGATATAAAGACTCCTCATGCACTTATCCTTATTTTTTATTTTTATCAAAAAAGCTACATAGAAGATAGAAATTTCTTTTTATGATGACTTATGAATATACAATTAATTATTTGTTTTTTTGTTAAATAGCTTGAGTGAAACTATATTTCAAAGTTGAAAATTAAATTCAATCTAATTATCTAATAGATTGTGATCAAGATCAAATTTTGGAAAGGTTAATTAGTTAGAAGCATAGTCAATCTTCAAACATGTTTATATTTGGACCGTATCGAAATAAAAGAAAAGCACATAGAGGAACACAAATAGGAACTTCTTGTTGTTCTACTTCTACCATGAAGAAGTAATCAATACGGGTTGTAGATTCACGGATGAAAACTTTGAAATATGCTTAAAACCTTCTTTAGAAATAATTTGATGCATTCACAGATCTATTTTTGAAGGACAAGTGTGTGATTATATCTGCCAACTATGCTTTGATGATATACCTTGATTGCTGGTTTTTGATTTGTTTTGGAGCTCTGTTGGCTTGTTTTGTTATTGCGACTTTGCGATTTTCTATCATGTATCATTTTGGTAACAAATGAAAATTTGTTTTGACCAAAAAAAAAATAAAAAATAATCTGATGTGAGTTTGATAGTGAAGAAGGTGTCGCTAAATTTTCAACTCCATCTAACAATTCAAATTTGAAATTGAAAAGCTCAAAAGAAAGCGCAAAGCAAGTTTTGTTTAACTTTAGAAACCTACAAATTTATTTCCAGAAAAACACCCACAAGGTTTAGATAGACTAGATAAATAGATTGAAATTTAATTTTCAACTTTGAAGTATAGATTCGTTTAAACTATTTGAATAAAAATAGGTAATTAATTGTGTGTTTATGTCAGAAATTAAAAAAAAATTCTATATAGCTTTCATGATTATGAGACCATAAATTATAACATACTCTAGGTAAAGCGATAACAGGATGTGCGATAAGATGATTTTTTCTAGGCATAACAGGGCATTTATATTGTGAAACCTATGTGAGAGATGATAAAAATAAAGTCATTTTTATTGGTTAGCTTGCTAAAAAAGAAACAATCCATTAAAGATATAGAAGAAGAGTATTTCTGTCAGTTAACTAAAAAACAGAAGTGTCTTGGCCAAAATGGAGTAGAATTAGAAGAAGGGTATTTCATCAGAATATCAATTTAAGTCCAACAAAACTTGTGAGATAGGACGTATAGGCCACTATACCCTCGGGCGATCATAGACTTGCAATTTATAGTAATTACATCATGATGTTTAATTAGAGCCGTTAGATCATATTTTGTTAGATCATATTTTGTCTCAACATATGAATTAAGATATTGACGAGCCAATAGATAAAAGATGCAAGGGTGTGACGCCATAAGGCAGTACTAGCCTAACCAAACTTATGGACCAGTTCAAATCAAATCGATTCTCTTGAACATTATAATCCTCCGGTTCTATTAGAGGGTGTAGTCAATTAAATTGGTCATCAAACTATGGACATTTTTTTGTAATATTTGAGATTTTATTTCCATTTTGTGCGTAACACTAAAGATTTCTCATACCGGTTGGTGTGAATAATCCAATGTTTGGGTCTCGAATTCAAGTTTTAGCCCGCTTCTTGGAGACTTCACGATTGGGTCGGGTTGGTTTGTCAAACCCCAAATCCCGATGGGCTCGCGACACCCCTCTGCGGTCGATTGAACGCGACGTCCCAAGACGCGTCAGCCTACCCAAACGAAATACGCAAGCGGAAGCGAAATATAAATAACCTGCATAATTAACCATGACCAAGGGATAGCACTAAGATAAAATCAATATACACATTTTATAAAAAAGGTTGGGTAACCTACTTCACTATACAAAACGGGCAACCAAAAAGGTGGAATGAAACATCAAATGCCCAAAGTCACTCCCGGTCTCCGATCAACACATGACGACTATCCGTCACTCCCGATCTGAAAATGTTTAACAACGGGGATGAGATAAATCTCAATAAGTAGACAACCTAAACCCCACATAGGTCAATGCGTACCCCGGACGAGCCTAACATGCAATCCACCAGCCAACACAATCAATTCCACACAACATACTTACCTCGTCTCGAACTACGTGCCAATCCCGTATATTAGTCCAAACATGACAAATGCAATAATAGCTCATAACCATATCACAATCACTCGAGCGCCATACACACTTGCATTCAACCAATCCAACCAAACACCCGCACGTGCATTCAGCCAATCCAACTAGTCACATTACGCACACGTGTCCAACCAACTTTCTCACGACTGCGTAAACACACCTCGGGTTCTTTCTCACGCGGGCGTGAACACGCCTCGGGGCTCGGCTCTTCGATCAATCCGGGCTCGGTCGCGCAACCACGCCTCGGGACATTTCTTTCGTTCCCATGACCCGCGTAAACACGCCTCGAGTCTAACTTTCTTTTCACGGACCACCGTCAACACGTCTCAAGTCCGTTCTCACAGGCACACAAGCCACATAATTCAATCAATTTCCAATGACCGCCGTTAACATGTCCCAGGTCAAACTTTCCTTTCACGGACCACCGTCAACACGTCTCAAGTCCGTCAACTTTCATTCTACGGACCACCGTCAACACGTCTCAAGTCCATCAAATTTCATTCTACGGACCACCGTCAACACGTCTCAAGTTCGTTAACTTACGTGTACACGTGCCACACAATTCAATTTGTCATTCTCACACGTCATACTAATCAAATTCTAATCACGAGTTCACCACACAAGCCCACCAATCCGACACTCAAATCGGCCACATTCAAACATCAATTTCATCCACAAACGCCACGACAATTCAATTATCGCACTCACATAAATTAGCCACTAAACATGCCACATAATCACCACAATTCAATCCACCAATTAACCACATTTATAAATTGGCCTTAACCCAAGTTTAACCACTAAATCGGTACTAATCACACCCTAAACAAGTCTAAAAATACCCATTATACTAAGTAGGGTTTAGGAAGTCACTTACTAGGTTTTGGCCGGGAAAAATCAGCCGCGGCCTAAAATGGCCCGGGTGAGCTTGATCTTGGGAGAGGCCGGAGCTGACAGTATTTGTGGCCCGGCCGGCCAACACGGGCACGGTGGCAGACAGTGCGCACAGCGCCTTTGGCCCGCGATGGCCCCGAGCGGCTCGCCTAGAGCGCCTGAGGGAGCGGGTGGGCCAGGCTGTGATGCTGGGCCTGGCCCATTTGGATGGGCGACATGCACAGGCGACGGGCACGATGGGCCACAGGCGCCTCGGCGACGGGCCACGGCAGGCGACGGCTAGGTGGGCGAGCAGCCCGGCCACGACCGGGCGGCCCGGCTGTTGGGTGGGTAGGCCCGAACGGGGGGCAAGCGGCCGGAGCGGCAGCGTGCGGCCCGGCCTTGGCCCAGGCGGGAGCTCGCCGGCGGGGCTAGCGCTTAGAGCGGCCGACGGCAGCCAAGCAGCAGCCCAGGCCCCAGGCGGCGAGACGGTGGGCGAGGAGTTGGGCTGGTGGAGGTGGGAGCCGGCGGTGAGCCGGCGCGGCTTGTGATGTTGGGCGGTGCTAGGCAGCAGCCGAGAGCGTGGCGGCGGCTGTTGCTTTCGCACGAAAGCTGATGGAGACGGGGAAGGAAGCGGGTTTGGGCCAGGACGACGACAACGACGGCGAAGAGGAAGCGTACGGGGCCGAGGTCGGGCAGAACGGCGCGGAGGTGGGAGCTCGGTGAGGTAAAATAGAGGAGGGGAAGTGTGCGGCCGTCGGGGTGGCGGTGGTGCGGCGGGGGTGACAGCGGCGGTCGGGCGGCGCCAGGCGAGCGGGGGTGGGCTGACGAGCGGTGCGGAGAAATGGATGAGTTGGGCCAGGCGGGCGCACGAGCGGTGGTGAGTGGTCGGGGCGGAGCAAGCAGAGCAATCGGCCCCAAGAAGAAGAAGAAGAAGAAAAGAAAAGGAAAAGGAAGAGGAGAGAAGAGGGAAACGGCCATGCGGAGGGGAGAGGGCGTGAGCGTGAGAGGGGAGGGACGCGGCGGTGAGAGGAGAGAGAGAGAGAGGACAAAAGTCAACATAATGATCGTGATCCAGCGGTCCTTGTTCAAGCCCAAAAAAGATCCAACGGCCCACGAAAATCTAATAATAATATAGGCAAAAAGGGCCAAAGAAAATAGCCTAAAATACACTACGAGGGAGAGGTCACACTAGTCGAATCCGCACCGGTCAAAAATCCACTTTTCACATATCCGTGCAATATCGAGAGGCGGCCATATGTCTCGACACCGTCCAATTAAATTACGTCCTAGAACTCCGAGAAATTCGACACCAAAGTTTGGGCTCTAAATAACGGTCAGATGATCGAGTGCGATTCTCAAGCAAAATCTCTAATTTAAAATGATAACCCAAGGTGATCGGTTCCGAGCGAGATTTTATTATAAGCGCTATTTGACTAAATACGTATTTTATAAATCTAAAAATAGAGGCAGGAAATTGAATGTCACAACTCTTCTCCCTTACAAAAAA